TCTTCATTACCCATTCAAGCCGTCTCCAGCCATTATTAGTCTCAAAGTGGGTTCCTCGTCATCGAGCTTCTTGTTCTGTTAAGACTGGGCTTGTGTTCAGTAAAGTGTCTACCTCTTGATAAAACTTTAAGGTGAAATGTTGAGGAATGTTCACTGGATACTGGCCGCTTCTGTCAATTAGACATATTTATACTCCAGCGTGCACTACACTACCTTAAGTATTCTGAACCGGATCATATTTTATTTCATTTTCCTACATTACCTTGTTATAACATCAAACACTTAAGTAACAGCCATTGTTATATATGTCTCTAGCTATCATAGAAACACAGATACTGTTGATGTTAGCTGTATTCTTGGTAATTTTTACATTAGCTGCTGCTATCATTACAACAAGTATATAAATGATTCACTGTGAGCTTGACGTGAGCACCTAGTTAATAGTGGTAGTAATCAGGTCGTCAAAGTGTCGAAATTATCAAACGCTTGACGAGGATGAGATGCTGAACCGGATGATGTGAAAATCCACATTCTTGTATCTGGAATTGTTTGTCCACCGGCATTCAAGAATTGACTTGCTTTTAATCTTGTATAAGATAAGTACGATTTTAAGAACCTTTTGTAAGAAATACTGGAATGATTATTGTTTGTTTGAATTGCTTATCAGCGCCGTTAGAAAACTACTGTTCCGAGGTTTTGAGGTACACATTTCCCCTAAACAAATGAGCATAATTTTATTCTTTAAGTTTGTTCTTTAACTTATATATAAAAAAAAACATTATTTTCTTATGGAATGAATATAGAAGATCTGAATATAAGGTTTCGTATGTTGAATTTAGCGAAAAGCTAGTCAAGGGCTATATGTATTAGCCGTCCCTAATTTAGTAGTGATAGACTAGATTAGAGGTAAGACAGCTTAGATGTCAACATCACCGACTGCCAAGTCTTGGGCTACCCTTTACCAACGAATAGTGGGATTGACCGTCACATGTTGACGCCCCTACTGCTGAAAAGGCGAGCATGTTCGGTGACAGGATTCGAACTCGCGACCCTAACCCTGAATAAAAGGAATCAGACAATTCAAGTGTTGGTTTAAGAAAAAGTTTTAAAAATGATTATTCTTAACAATCACAAGTAAAATGTAAAAATTCAGGATCAGACCATCAATTATTTGAATCCAAAATGGTAAGAAACTGTTTCAGAAAGAAGGAAGATTTGGTTATGGACCAGGTGAAAAACAAATCATTATCTAAATCCATTTTCAAAGTGTGGTAATATAGACATGCAATAAATACAACAGCGTGTACAACAGAAATGATTCTAAATTCTAATTATTATTATTTTTTTGGACCTTGATAAATTTCTTGATTCAATTACATAACATTACTCCCGCTTAAATGAATCGTTTTTATGAAATCTTAATAATTTCATCCGATATTTGGAAATAGTATCGTAAAAATCCCCCCCCCCCAGTGGCACAGCGGTATGTCTGCGGACTTACAACGCTAGAAACCGGGGTTCGATACCCGTGATGGGCAGAGCACAGATAGCCCATTGTGTAGATTTGTGTTTAACTTCAAAACAAACAAACGAATAAGATATAAATGCAGCTACAGCGTGATAAAATCAGAGGATACAAAAAACACGGTTAAGATGTAAACTTTAACCATCATGATGTATACAATTTTGTAATATTGAATTCATCAAAGTTTTCTCATTTTATCCATTTAAGTTCTTAAATATATGTGCATGTTTATTCCCAACAGAATGATTAAAGACTTTTTTTCCTGAGCGTATCGTTAAACGAAGTACTATTTAGAAAGGATAAAAATATAGAACCAGAATTTTAATTAAAAAATAAATGCCGAGAATGAAATAACTTCGTTTCCATTTACTGGAATTATTAGATACTGATATATTTCTTGGCTTTGGATGTTCTCTAATCATTAAACAAACACCTGCTTTGGAGTCTAGATATCAATCTGATATTAAGTATTGTACACAATTCAACGTCTTATTTTCTCTACTGACTAATTCAGAGGAATGATGTATCCTTGACAACCCGTCACTTTATTTGTGATCGTTTGATACAGTTTATTTTCACCCAGGACAAGTAGTATCGTTTGCTATCGACACAGTGATTTTACTTGATCGCCATGTAGCCAAACGCAGTTGCGTTGGTCGAAGTAGGCTTAATAGGCACAGTTATGTCTGTTTATTCGTTGAATATCGCGCAAAGCTACTCGAGGGCCATATGCGTTAGTCGTCCCTAATTTTGAAGCGATAGTCTAGAGGTAAAGTAACTAATTAATACTATCCACCGTCAACTCTTGGGTTACCCAAATCGAATAGTGGGATTGACTCGTCACATCATAACGGCTGAAAGGGCGAGCTTGTTCGGTGATAGGATTCGAA